TGAAAACCCAAAAGAACAATTTAAGGAAAAGATGATAACATGGCTAAAAATATGAAAAGACAGCTTGTGATAAGAAAAAAACCAATATTATTTAAGAATCATGTGGGATAAGGGCAAGATTTAGTTTGATAAGCTCAAAAAAATCAAAGGCGTAAATGAAATGAGTTTTTAATAAAGAATTTTGATGTAAAAAATTATCTAGATATTCATTATTTGGATGTTGTTATACCGTCCAATATTATCTCGTTTAGTGATAAGCTTTGAAATTGTTCATTTTTTTCTCTACTAAACTTGTTCTTGTGTTGAGTATTTTTTTTCTTTAACTAATCTTATTCTTTATTAGTATTGCTTTCCTATAATGAATTAAAGAAATATGTGATGAATTACATTTGTCATGAAATTGGAATGATGAAAAATAAATGATAAAATTCATAAAAGACCTTTGTATTACTTTAAAAAAAAAGTTAGTAAAATAGGGGCAAAATGTAAAAAGTAAAAGTGACAAAGGAAACTTGAGAAAATGTTGATTCTCAAGGCCCTAAAACGAAACAAGAAACATTTGAAAAAGTTCAAATTTTATCATCAAATGATGCATGTGGCAAAAGGACATTTTGATTCATAAACTAGCTGATAAAACTTGATATCTAGTTTAAAAGTTATTGTTTAGAAGCAGAAAATGACAAGGATTGAAAGCTAGAAAAGAAAAAGAAAGATGAAAAAAAGTCTTAAGAATCTTTTTACCATAATTAAAGGTTCATAACATTGCATTTATTGATAACATTAATTTCATTGACATTTGTATTACATGTAATTCATTCATGACATTGCATTGCATTCGTGGTATTTGTTGCATACATTGCAAACAAGAGATGATGACTTTTGATTTTGAAATTAACAAAAGTGTGAGAATTTTTCATTAAATGAAGCTTAAACTTCTCGATCCTTGATTAAGGAATTTTTTTTTTTTTAAAAAGAGGTTTTCATTCCTTCGATTGAGGAAAACTTTTTAAAAAATAAATCTCGATCCTTGATTAAGGAGAATTTTGCAAAAATGGATCTTAATCCTTGGTTGAGGAAAAGTTTCAAATATAAGATTCCAACCTTCGAATGAAAAAAACAGTTTCAACGAAAAATGAGAAACCTTGGTTAATGGAGCTTTTTAAAATTTCAAAGTTTTATTGCCTCTAGTTAAAAGGGTTTTCGAATTTTAAAGTGACATTGTCTTTAGTTAGAGGAGTTTTTCAAGATTTGAAGTTTCATTATCTATGGTGAGAGGAGTTTATTTTAAAGTTATATTGCCTCTGGTTAAAGGCGTTTTTCAAAATTTAAGTTTCATTACTTTTGGTGAGAGGAGGTTAAATTTTAAAGTTAGATTGCTTCTAATTAGAAGAGTTTTTCAAAATTTTAAGTTTCATTTCTTCTGGTTAAAATAGCTTCTTTTTTTTTTTTTCAAAATTTAAAGTTTCATACCTTCCGTTTAGAAGAGTCATTTTATAATTTTCAAAAGTTATTGAGTCTAGTTTAGAATAACCTTTTATAATTTTCAAAGTTATCGAGCCATTGTTTAGAGGGGCCATTTAAAAAAAAAAACTTTTGGTAGATTAGGATCCAGAAGTAATGGTTACCTATGTTTTTGTACAATTCATGTTTCATGAAAAATACACAAAAAAGGCAACTGTAGACACCTAATTTGTTTAGGGTTTTGTTCATTGATTTTCTATTTTATTTAATGTTATTGGTCTTTATTTTTTTATTTTATTTTATTTATTTTGAAGAAAAGAAAAGGGGAGATTGGATGGGAATTGAGTGAATATTCTAACCATATTGGAATTAAACTCTTTTTGATCCATAATACTATTTCGGATGGGATTTAGTGTTTAATTGAAAATATATAATAAATAAAGCATGGTTTTGGGAAGGGATACAAAAAGGAATTGGATTTAGATTTTAAGATTGTGATTAAGAAAAAAAACTAAAAGCCATATTTTGATTTGGAGTCTGGTTTGGATTAGGATTAATTCCCTATTTAAAGAGCCATAATTAAACACCTAGGGGAAGGAAGGAAAAAAAATAAAGAAACAACAATCAACAAACAAGAAAAAAGCCAACATAATGTTAAGGTAGTGTTTGTTTTTAATAGTTTTTAAGATAAGATTTTGGGTTGATTGTAGGTTTAGGTTTGATTTAAAAAGGTTTAGATTTAGGGAAAACAAAAGAAAGTCGAAGTTTGGGTTTAGACATTTTTTTCATGAAAAATTTTAGGATTTTTGTGGAAATTTTTTAAATTTTTATTGAGTTTTTTTGACAAAAGTTGAAGATTTTGATAAAGTTTTTTCATGAAAGTTGAAGATTCCTTTAAAGTTTTTAGCCATGGTTGAATTTTTTGGTTGAGGTTTGTAGTTTTTGATTCTGACTTTTGGGATTTATTGTTAGAATCTAGCTTTTTTTCGACTTTTAGATTGATATTCTTGGTATTTTAAATAGAGGTCGGAGATAAATTGAAAAAAGAAAAAAAAAAAAGGGAAAAACATGAGAGTTTTTTTTTTTTTTTTTTTTTTTTTTTTTTTTTTTTTAAGCTTATATACTTCTGGGAAACAAAGTCGTTTAGATCTAAAAAAATTTTGCAAAGTTGCAGCTCGACTCGACTAAACCCGTGCACCTATCCAAAGTAAGTTTGACTTGTTTCGCTTGTTTTCCTTTTTTATTTTATTTTTTTGTTTTTATTATTTAATTCATTTATTTGATTTACTTTGTTTGTTTAATTTATTATTCATCTAACTTGTTTTTTCTTTTTCTTAAATTTATATTATTCTATTTATTTATTGATTTGTTTAATTTTATTTAAAAATTAGGAATATTTTAATTAAATAAATGAGATTAAATTTATGGGTTAGATAATAAATAATTAATTGTATTTCATTGTATTCTCTTTTGTTTTCTAAAAAATTAGTTTTGTATATGAGTTTGAGAATAATTATTTGATTATTTCGATGATAAAATTTTAAAAAGGTAATTTTAAAAAAATTTCTAGGTGAAATTTTTTTTAAAAAATTTTGTCAAAATGATGAAAAATTTAGACAATAAATTTTAACAAACAATAATTAAAATTTATTTTTGAATTAAAAAAAATTAAAAGGGTTTAGAATCAAATATTAATTATTTCAATGATGAGATATAAAAATACATAAATGGTGATTTTTAAGAATTTCTTTTTAAATTTTGTTAGATTGATAGAGAATTTAGATTAAATATTTCAATATAAATAATTAATATTTATTTTTAAATAAAATAAAATAGAACAAAAATCAAATTAAATTAATAAAAATTTAAAAAAAATAATATTTTCATATAAAATATAATAAGTCTAACGATGGGATTTTTTTAAGAGAACAAATGGATTTCTTAAATATTATTGAGATGAAGAAAATTTTTAAGAATTCTACAATAATGGTGAAAAAGACCTATACTATTTTCCAATGAAACTTAATTAATTTTTTCATAAAATATTTAATAAATCTGAAGATGAAGTCTTTTTAAAAAAGTGATTATAATTCTTGAATACTTTTTAAGTGAGAAGGGATTTTTAAGAAAATTTACTAGATTGATAAAGAAAATATAAATTTTTTTTTCAAATTTTAAATATTAAAACTTAAGATAAAAGACCATTTAGTTAGGACCAATATTAGAATAATTTTAAATTAATTTGTATCATTTTTAGGATGGACATTATGAGAATGTTATAATATTTTCTACGTACAATTGAACTCCTGAACTTAATTTTAAGATGCAAACTAAAATTTATTCTTTTTATATATTTTTATCGTGCTTAGGGCCCATTTAAAAGAGTAGATTTACTTAGGTGAATATTACATCTAAATAAAAAAAATTGATAATAACTCTTATTTAGTGTCTAATGATCGAATTCTCGTATTTATATGTAATGACAAGCATTACAAAGCAAATATGGTAGATGACATAAAAGCACCAATTTTGTGCATTAGAAAAATGTTCATTGGTTTTTAATTGAACATCTTCGTTGACAACTTCATCTTTTTGGGCAAAATACAACTGCTCTAAACCCATCGAGACAAAATTCGCTTCAACTTAACATCAAAAATTGACCTTTTACTTTCATTGATGACAATACAATCCACAACATTATGTAAAATCCAAAAACAATAAACTCAAACACAATTGCAACGTATTTGAAAAGCTTTCTCCATTACATAAATTTTTAATTTCACCCTTCAATTTTTTTCCAGCATCCTTGAACGTCCTAGCTCTTTCTTCAGTTCTTTCTGCTTCAACTTACATTTTTTTAGTTCTTGTCTCAACTCCCACTCAATTTGATTTTTTTCAATTAATTCATCTTCCATTTTTTGCATTCTCTTCATCAACTGGTCTACAACTTGTTCTTTCATTTGATAAGTTGGTGGGTCATACCAAATCGACACTTTTCTCTACTCTAAGGCATAACACTAATTCAAAATTATGAGACGAAAAGTAGTAAAAGACCAATAATTGAACCCATTTATCGCGTAACGAGCACGGTCAACAAATTTCCTTCTAAGATTCTCTAAACTTTAGGCCGTTCGAAAAGGAAATCAAATTCCATAATTGCAATCCAAGATTCAGGAAATGACGAAGAGGATGAAGAGAAAAATGCCATTTTCACAATTTGTTTGAAATTTACTTGCATTTTTTGTGGTTTAAATGCAAAAAGATTTGATTTTTGTCGTTGATTTTAACTTGAATTTACATAAATAACTTAAGGTAAGGGTATTTTTGAGATTACATAAAATATAACTCATGTTTAATATTGTTGCCTCTTTTGCTAACAGTAGGTAACCTCGAGGTTATAAGTGACAACACGAAATGTAAGTGAGAAAGTCATACACTGGATGGGGTACATGTAGAATTTACCCTTTCTAAAAAATGTTAGCACGCGTGGCACGTGAGGAGGACAGAAGGTGACGCTTTAAAGTAACCCTAGAGGCGGTCTCAGATAAAAAGGAAAAATCGAGAGATCTACAAAATTGTACACCTTTACCTGCTCTATTCCTAACCCTAGGTCTTTGTTGCACCCACACCGAATCCACCGCCGTTCCACTTGACCTTCACCTGGGTTTCTTTAATCTTCTTCCCCTCTCTTCGGACACCAGGGTTTTGTGTAAATGAGAGGCAGGAGTTATACTCCATCTCCGCCCAGGGGCTACGGCCGGAGAGGACGGAGCCCCAGCCCCAGAGGCCGTTATGGTGGTCGCGCTCGAGACCTTCCTACAAGCCTTTTGGTTCGCAACCTCCGCCATGACTGCAGGTTTCTTCTCCTCCATTCTGCTTCTGCCTCCATATTTCTTAGCACTATTATTATCAGCTGTTTTTGAAAATGGAATTTTCTTACAATAGGGAATGATATTCTTTCAACTTTCTTTCTAATTCGTTTAAATAAAAATTTGGGTGATTTCCATGACATGTATCGCATCGTAATGTTCATGAATGTTATATTTTCTTCGTCATCCATTGTCAATGAACCATGGTATTGTAGCAACTGTTTCAGTGGGATTGTTTATTTTCTGTGAAGTTTCAACTAAGATTGATTATCTTTAATAATTCATAATGCAATGGAACGGCAGATGATTGATTATTTGTTTCCACGTATGGTTTTGTGCTTTTGCAGGCCAGAAGACCTTCGCAGGTCCTTCGAAAGATTTGGTCCTCTTAAAGATATATATCTGCCCAAGGATTATTATACTGGGTGAGGATATATATTATACTTATTTAGATAATCGAATTGATTTGTTTTAATCTTTTCTTTTATTCACTGGACTCAAACAAACTTATTCTTTTAACCTTACCATGGGTTTTGTGTGGTCTAGGGCATGTTTGGCGACACTTGATTCTTTTTGGAACCACAGAAATAATATTGTAACTTTTTTATTTTCCATTTTTATGATCTTTGTTATAGGAAATTTTGAGTTGTATTCATAACTTTGATTTATTGCATTCGGATTATGTCCCTCGAGAAACTATGACTCTTCAAAATTCTTATCTCTAATTTAGGAGGTCCAAGCAAAGTTTAAAACACATTTTTCTCTCTATGCTTTTTACCAAACAGGCTGTCCTGCTAATGCTCCTTCCTCTCAATATCTATTCTGATGTTGGGGCATTCCTTTAAGTATACTCTTTTGTAATAACAAATTGGGTGTGTTAATTGAACTTCTTGAGGTTTAACAGTGAAATTAAAGTTTTGAAGACATCAATCAAGTAATTAGAGTTCTTTTGAAGATGATGTTAGTGGTAGTGAAGATTGGAAGGAAGTTGGGTTTGAATACATTGTGAAGATGTACCAAGTCTTGAAGATTTTCAACTGATCTTTAAACTGACACTTGCAAGGTTAGCAGGCAAGTGCTTGCTTTTTCATGCTTATGATGACCTTCCATATTACTAGGGATTATTTTGGAAATATCATTGGAAAAGGTTATTGGTCTGCATGGTGCCTGCCAGATTTTATTTTGTGTGGTAGCCTTGCAGTGACTCTTTTGTATAATTCTTCAGGGAACCTCGAGGGTTTGGTTTTGTCCAATATGTTGAGCCTGCTGATGCTGCTGAAGCCAAATACCAGATGGATGGCCAGGTTCTTCTTGGTCGAGAGTTGACTGTTGTCTTTGCTGAAGAAAACAGGAAGAAACCAGCTGAAATGAGACACAGAGAGCGAGCGAGGTAGTCTTTCCAGGACATTTACTAAGCTATAGCATATTTTTTCAGATAGATTGGGAATGCAATTGGGTTCCTTGATTTATTAAGGGGAAGTTCATCTTCTAGTTTCCAAATAAATAGTTGCATTCTTAATAGTTCACAATTTGCATCATTTGAACATTTAGTCCTAACCTCATAACTGATCAAGTAGATACTTTGTTTCATCTTCTCAAATAGTTAAAAAAAATTTAGGAATATTATTGGTTTAAGCTAGAATGCTGCCCCTGCTTTGCCTAAAGATTTTTTATTTTAATTTTTATAAAAATAATTTTAAATTTATCTTTTTCAATTCTTAGATTTTTCAGATTTAAAGAAAAAAAGATTCGAAAATCTTGTATCTAGAGTTTTTTATATGATTGTTTATGTTGATTGGTTGTAATTAATTTTTTTCCTTTCAAATTTATTAAAAAATCTCAATTCTAATGTCTTTAGTTTTTTAATTTTAGTTTTTCGTTTTTAGGAGACATTATTTTTAATGAATATTTAAATTCTAGATTTAGTCATGTTTTAAAGAATTTTTTGTTATTTTTTGGTGAGATTTTTAGTTTTTTTTTATGTAGGTTATTTTTTTCACTTATTATTGTTTTAGTTGCATTTTTTATACATTAATATGTGGTTGAGATTTAATATATTGGTTAGTCATAGGATTTTTGATATTGAGTTTTTCATTGGTGAGTTGAATATATTGTTAGGAATTTTTTTTTTTCATTATCTAGATGTTTGGATTGATTTTTTTTTTTTTTGGCAAAAAATTTGAAGGGTTTTATAACTGCCAACAGCATTTGCTCCTCTCTCTTCTCACCTCCTACTTTTTTATTTTCTATTTTTTTTATAATTATAATTAAGCAAATAAAAAAGAATATTTTTTTGAAAAAACTTATTTAAGAAAAATAAAAAATGCCACATGGCGAGCAAAGATTTCGCCACAAGTCGCATAGTAGGCTTTAAAAGATTTTTTGAAAAAAGATTATTTTAAAAAATTAAAAAATAAAAAAAAAAGATGACACTAGGCAAGCAAAGTACTTGCCACTTTTCATCACACAATCTCTTAGGGGACAGTTTTAATCTATAGTTATAGATAAATTCTTAGCTTCCTCGGATGAGATAATGGATCGTAAAATGGACCAATTGGAATGCTTGTGGTATTTTGAGGGAAGATATTCTTTTTAGATGTATCTAGGTTTTTCTATGTCATTGGGGGATTATGCTGATATCCATCTTATTATGGGGTTGGATAATGGTTGTCTAGTAGGTTCAGAATTCTTAATTTTGTATCTTTCTGTAAACATTATGCTGGTGAACATGTTTATAAGTCCAATGGAACAAAGAAATTTCTAGGAAAATATGGATTTGTCTTACAGTCCGTTTACTAGGAAGGAAAGAAAGGAGAAATGAAGGAAAAATTTTTAATCTATTGGTTAAGTTACATAATATGTGTTATTTTGTAGTTTAGCCCTTAGATTAGAACTTTTAGAACTTTTCCTTCCTTTTTCTTTCCTTCCCACCTAATGGAGCCTTAGAGATAGGTAATTTTCCTGTACGTTTTGCACAAGGGCTTCTGTAATATTTGGTTCAGAATTCTTAATTTTATATCTTTGCTTAAATGTTATGCTGCTAAACATGGTCCACGGAACCGAGAAATTTCCTATGAAGCTCTGATGCACTCTCTCTCTCAACTTTCAATGTTCTCTCTGTTTCAGAGGAGGTCGATATCGTGATAGGAGAAGGTCCCCTCCTCGTTACTCCCGTTCACCTCGATATTCTCGGTCTCCACCTCGTCATGGGAGATCTAGGTCACGCAGTCGTGATTATTCCCCTCCTACAGTGAGACATTACTCAAAGTACTAAATGTGTTTCTTCCTCTTGACTAAATTATTTTAAATATATTGTCTCTTTATAGGTTTATGCTATTAATGTGAACTTAAAATAATCTTATGCTCTGTTTGTGCTGAAGCAGATCTGTTTCACCCCAAGATGGACGGTACAACCAAGATAGGTATTCACGTTCTCCACCGTACAATGGCTCAAGGAGCCGGAGCCATAGTCTAGACAGGGGGCAAGGCCATAGCCGGAGCAGAAGTCGAAGCCCGAGAAGAAGCAGAAGCCCAAATCTGAGAAGAAGCCGAAGCAGAAGCCACAGCCCAAGACGAGTTGGAAGTCCACCCAGAAGCAGAAGCCAGAGTCCAAACCATGAGGAGTACAAGAGGGAAGTAAATGGAGAAAGGTCTCCCAATCAGTGATATTTGTGCTGCCATCTTTTGTAGCATTATTTCTAGGTACTGTATTGTTTGGTGTATTTGATTATGAAGGGTGGTGTTTGAACTGAAAGTTGATAGAATACTTTCTTGGTTTTGGAGTCCGACTGGTTATGTTAAAATTTCAGTTATTGGTACTGAGATATTCTTACGTAAGGCATGCTCTGTGAGTGATATTGATGAACTGTTTTGTCCTCAATTGTTCGATGTAACTTTTTTTTTTTTCTCTCGTACAATTTGTTAAATTATGCTGCCGTTCTTGGAGAATTTGTTAGCAAATGACTAGATGGGGCCTTAGTAGCATAGATGCTTGTCCTATAATAAAAATTCTTACATTCATGGGGTGCCAGACATGAAATGAATGGCATTATTGGATGGGTCTTTGTGCAATCCGTCTGCAACTGAATCTTAGTGTTGTGACAAAAAAGAAACTAAGGATAGGACTTTTTGGCAATTGGGATCCCACTGGCACCGATGAATTCCATCTTTACAACCAAGCAGCGTCTCAACCGGCCCTCTGTTCCATGTTCGTCACCCTTTATACGCGGTTTTAAACTTTTAGGTCATACAATACGTTGCTATTTTCATTGTCTATGCCTTTTGTCTGGGGCATTATTGTAAAAAATATCTTACTTTTTGATCCAACTTGGAATCAAATCATTTTCTTGGACCAGTAAAAATTTTAGTCTGACTTTAGTACGGTTATTATAAAAAGGAAAAAAAAAAGAATGAAAAACATTGCACCACAAGTAACAGAATGAACGTCATGTTAACTATTCTTCTATTAATCGTTTTAATGAAGAGATTATATAGCATTTAGTTATGTTTTATTACTTAAATTAGTTGTGCAAAAAGTGATTGTCGATTACAAATGATTAGAATTATTACAAATAAAAAGGGAAATATTTTTCTTCATTTTGTCCTTGTCACTTAACAAATGGAGGCTCGGCACCCATTCTTATAGTGAAAAATAATGTCAATTCAGCTTGTACTAGTTGGGAATAAAATAATATACTTCAGTTGTTACCAAATGACTTAACACAAGAACACAATCTCGATGGTTGATGCACTTGTGTATTTTAATTTCTGCAAATATTGTCCCGCTTCTATATTCTTCTTCACGGTAATATTTATTTTTTAAAATATAAAAAAGAGCTTAAAATATTGCAAAAAAGACAAACAACATAAGTTGCACAGACAAAGAAGGCTTTGTTTCATACAGTCAGTGGCTTCTGAGAGCCTGATAGATCAAACAAAGACAAAGCTGCCATTGAAGGTTTCTTACCTCTCAATCTGAAACCTTCTTCTATTATTTTAGTATCTCTAATAATGTAGTTTTTGATGTCTTCTTTCTTTTATTACTATGAAATTGTGGGGTATGCTTCTTTATTATTGTATTTAATATATGGAGTGTTTTTATTAAGTGAAGCCTGTTGGTCTGGCTTCCACATTTATGTATAGAAAGGTTATTGTGGGGCTTTTGAAATCCTTTCTTCGTTCTCACTTAACTGTATTCTTTGTGCTGGATTGCTAGTTTTGTGTCTTCGAACACTTACTTTCTTGGTTTTTTTTTTTTTTTTTTTTTTTTTCAGAATTCCATTTTGCAGTTTGGCAACTTGGATCAGGTGTTTCTGAACTTCCTTCTCTTGATTTCTTCATCTGGGTAACCTTGTTTGTCATTATTATGTGGACTTTGGCTTCTGGGTACTTTAAGAATGCAACTTTTGGGGGATCTTTCCATCTGGGTATTTTGGGATTAGACTTTTTTGCAATGCTTTCTTTTCATGAATGGCTTTTTATGCTCGGAATGTGAAATGGTGTTTTGGATATTTTGTAGATTCTTAGTTTTTTTTTTTTTGAAATAGTTGGAAATGCTTATTGGATAAGATAGACTTAAAGACAGCTGCAGGAGGCATCCATGTATGGTTCTTTGAATTCCTTATAATATCACAATCATTTGTTTCTCTCTAATATAGTCGCTATTCTTCAAGATTTTCCCCCCCTTCCATCTCCTTTACACTGTTGTTATCAACTTCAAACTAGGGCTGTTTCATTATTCTTTTAACCCAAGTTTCTGGGAATCATGAATTAGCTTTGTTTCATCAAAAGCATACAAAATTATTTACATAAAATATTTTTGCAAAATTACATATACAATGGGTTTTAAACCAACGAGGACCTAATAAATCCTGCTAGTACTGGGATTTCTGCTTGACATAATGTCAACACCATTTTCACTGAAGATTAATTTATTTGTAAGGAGTCAAAAAAGGTTTACGTCCTTTTTTTTTCCTGTCATTATAATACATGAAGGTGGATTCCTTGATAATGTGCTTCAAAAGGTCACATGTAAAGATGATATATTTATCCTTCTATTGCTCAATTTGGTGTCATCTACCTGGTTAGTACATGTAACACTACTTTCCAACTGTGAGCAAGAGCACTATAAACCCAAACATTTTCAGGATTGATTCTTCTCTTCAACTGGTTGGCTAGCATAGTTAGCATGATTGAACTTGTTTTTTTTATATCTTTTGTTTAGAATAGGTGCCTCAACAGCAGAGTTGTTGGTTTTATGTACCTTCCAAACACTTGCTTGGACAACTATTGTTGATGAAATGGGCTTGGAGTTATATCTATTATGTAATGAATATGGAAATTTACTTTAACTAATATTTTGATTTAGCATTTGTCTTTTATAAAAAATGTACATATTTGCATTTTATTTTCTGATGCCTAAGAACATTAAATTTCGAAGTAGTTTTACTATTTATTTAGAGTATTTTGGGTTTTTCTGAGTTTTATATTTCATATTTTTTCTCCATAAATTCTCAGTGTTAGCTGAATTTAACTATCGTCTGTCTGATTCTTGCTTTTGTTTGCAGAACATTTAGAATTTAAGCTCCAGTTGAGAGTAAACAGCACGAGACTGCCCATTTAGGTTGAAGGTTTTTTATAATCAGATGATTCTTGACAGATGTTTTGGAAGCATGCTTCTGGTTCTAATTAGCATGTTTGCCAATGTGTTAGGTAATTTAGAAAATTTATTGATGGTTTTTGGCTAAATTCTATTTGGAAGCTTAATATTATACAGTTATGCTATATAGATGAGCTTTAGAAATTTAGCGTTTGTTCCTTTGGGGTTAGTTCTTTCTATGATTATCAAACTATTTGCTGTAAAATTTCTTATCAGTATAAAGGATATTTCTTGTTAATGAGTATTTTTTATTTTACTTTTTTCCAATAGTAACCAGTGTTGGTACTTCTTATGGCTCAAATACCACCAGTGCACATCATTGTAAACTTGCAACCATGTTAATCATCGTTGCAGGTAATAAATACTTCAAATTGGTTGAGTCTGCATTTTCTTGTCATATTTTTAAAAGGTTCCTAATAGAGAGGCCTTTGAAGATCTAGAGACCATTGAAATCAAAATGCTTTGATTCCGTTCCGTTCCGTGTTTTGTTTTGTTTTATTTTCTTTGTCCACAACATTTACTTTTTTGGATTTTTCTTTTGGTTTATGCTTAAGTTGGTGTTTGTTTTCTTGAAATCCGGAGAATGATGGTGAAATATTGAGGTTTTTATACCTAGAATAGGTAGTTCATTGAGTGTCGTATATATTTGTGTAAAGGACTTTTGCATCAAAAAGAATTGTGTATAGGAAGTAAATCAATCAATGGTTCCTTTATTTACCATTATGATAAACTACCTCTAATGATCTGGGTGGGGGGGGGGGGGAACATTTAGTTACAAGGTGCTTCTTAATGTTAGGTAATGCACATAAAAAAGTACATGTAATAGTGTTTCTTTCCAGTTCTTTCTGACTTAGATTCTTGACTGTATAGGTGCATTCATTGGGATAAACATAGGTACTGATGTTTCCAGCATGCCGTCAGCTTCAGACGTGGTTGCTATTGTCAAAGGCCATCAAATTACTCACATACGACTTTATGATGCTGACTCTCACATGCTGAAAGCCCTTGCAGACAGCGCGATTGAAGTTACAGTTGGCGTGACAAATGAGGAAGTCCTAGGAATTGGAGAATCCGCATCAGCAGCAGCAGCCTGGATCAACAAAAATGTCGCATCCTACGTGCCTTCAACCAACATTACAGCCATTGCTGTTGGGAGTGAGGTTCTCACCTCAATCCCTCATGCTGCCCCAGTTTTAGTTACTGCTATGAATAACCTCCACAAAGCACTTGTGGCTTCTAATCTGAATTTTCAGGTTAAAGTTTCAAGCCCCCAATCCATGGACATCATTCCCAAGCCTTTCCCCCCCTCTACTGCTGCCTTTAACTCCTCATCAAACTCTACAATATACCAGCTTCTTCAGTTTTTGAAGAACACTAACTCCTATTACATGTTAAATGCTTATCCATATTATGGTTACACTAATGGAAATGGCATTTTTCCAATTGATTATGCTCTTTTCAAACCTCTCCCCTCTGTCAAACAAATTGTTGACCCAAACACTCTCTTCCACTATAACAGCATGTTTGATGCGATGGTTGATGCAACCTATTATTCTATGGGCGCTCTCAATTTTTCTGGGATCCCTATTGTTGTCACAGAAACAGGATGGCCTTGGCAAGGTGGATCCGATGAACCTGACGCCACTGTGGAAAATGCTGAGACCTTCATTAATAATTTGATCCGGCGAGTTTCCAATAATTCAGGTCCACCAAATCAACCGGCTTTTCCCATCAACACATACATTTATGAATTGTTTAATGAGGACAAGAGACCTGGGCCTGTCTCCGAGAAAAACTGGGGGGTGCTTTTTATGAATGGTACTGCCATTTTTCCTTTGAGTTTGAGTGTTTCTAGTCAGATTACAGGAAATTCTACTACAGTTTTCTGTGTGGCAAAAGACGACAGTAGTGAAGATAAATTGCAAGATGGGCTCAACTGGGCATGTGGGCAAGGCCAGGCCAATTGCAGTGCTATACGATCAGGGGAGCCATGTTATCTCCCAAATAACATCAAGAACCATGCATCTTATGCTTACAATGATTATTATCAAAAAATGCGTAGTGTTGGTGGGACATGTGATTTTGATGGGACAGCCACAACTACCATTAATGATCCAAGTAAGTTGGCACAAGTTTTCTCATCAGTATTGATCTTTTTAATTTTATCTGTAACATATATTTTTTTAAAAAAATACATTAGAATTTAATTTTCGGTCTAAGAACTTTTGCTAGCTGGTTTATATGATGCTATGTCAATACCTAGGTTTGCTTTAAAATGAAGTTGATATTTCTCTGATAGTTTCCCATTCAAACTAAGCTTTGTGGTGGAACCTAGGGCTGTAAACGAGCCGAGCCGAGCCGAGTAGTGAGAGGCTCGAGCTCGAGCTCGACTCACAACTCGGGGCTCGATACTCGGCTCGAGCTCGATCGAGTTTTATTTTTCAAGCTCGAGCTCGATTCGTGATCGAATTCGAGCTACTCGAGCTCGCTCGATTAAGCTCGATTAATATGTAAAAATAAGCTCGATTCGTATACTCGACAAAAATTCGATTATTCATGCTCGAACTCGAACTCGGACTCGAAATATTTTATTAATTAAAATAATAAAAATATATTTAAATATAAAAGCTCGATTAGGCTCGCGAGCTACTCGAGTCAGATATAATAATACTCGAATTCGGCTCGATCGATAAATCGAGCTACTCGAGCTCGAGCTCGACTCGACAATAATCGAACCGAATTCGAGTTTTTTTCGAATCGAACCCGAGTAGCTTGCGAGTACTAATGTATCATTTACACCCCTAGTGGAACCTTTGTAAGGAAAGAAACTTGCATTTTTTGAGCTACGAAGTTAAAAATTTCATGGTACTATTATTGCAATCAAAGCAAAAAAAAAAAAGCCTTAGACAATGGCAGGTGTACATTTTTTACAAACATATTAGATGTTCATCACTTAAATGGTAATTCATTACATTATATTGTCTTTCCTTTTAGAAAGCCAAGATCCCAAATTGGTCAAAACATGTCACATCCTCGATTGAAAATTTTTGCAGACTTTAGATCTAATTGAGGCATTTAAGCTTTCATTTGTTATAATCACCTTGAATTCCCAGTTCTGCAGTTTTTTTTGTTTCCTCCTTTTAATGAGACTGTTGAACTGTCTAGCAACTAAACTGACTTGCCTGTGGACATCAGCTATTTGCTTTTGTGACAATTGGTATATTAACAGAATTATCAAGACTAATTTCAGATTCAAGGATGTACATTGTCTATGCCTCATCCTCTACGTGATGTGTTTTATGTATCATGTGGATAATTATATTACATTGGAGGGGAGGTATTATAGTTTCCTCCCCATCATGATAGTTTCGTATCAAGTGTTTTATATATGAAAATATGCTCAAAAGCTTGACATTTTTGTAACCCTATCTTTTGCTAAATCAACCATAATGCATCCATTGGTGTCTGATTATTTAATTATCATATATTCTTCCCTTCTTTATGTCATGATATGCAACTTAGTCATTTTTTTGGCTGATTACTTAACTGGTGGATGACTTCTGCAGGTTATGGTTTCTGTATATTTACAGGAAGGTGAGGTTCCAAATCTTTCACAGTTGATGAGTTCCATATTTGTTAATGATATTTATTTAGGATGATGACCCCTTTGTTTCTTGAAACAGTTCTAATTCAAGCACGGGTGGAGGGATTTCGCCTCCTGTAGCATTCGGTCCTATAAGTCCTTTTGGAGAGAGTACAAAGCTTCCTGTATCCAAGATTCAGTTTCTAATCTCAGCAGCTTGTCTTGCTGTAATCTTGCTATAACAATGGATTTACACCTTGTTGCCCGGCTTAGAGTAGTGCCGAAGATCACATTTAACATAAGATGAAGTAGATTGTAATGACATCCACAGAGGCCAATGATATGTGACGGTTGTTTTAATCTTCATGGTGGCGTTCGCATGTTTATCATCCATACGAATTTTGCTTTAGTTTTGAGTTGGTTGATCCTCTTGGATACTCAGCGCCCACCTCTTTCGGCAATCAGGTGCCTTGTGGGTTGCGCAGTAGCCATTCTAGCCTTTATTATTATTGTTTTTTTGGAACATGAGTAAACTTGGATTTGTTAGTTGACAATGGAAATGCAATTCTTCCTACAATCAGCCCTTAAAGTTAAGTTCCATCTTTTGCTTTTCAGTCCTTTTAGTCTATCATTTTTACATGTTTTTAAAGATTTTGTTAAATTTGAAAGTAAATATCATAATGCACTTGACTATTGCACTCTAAACTCTGTTTTTTCTCTTTGGCAAAAAAATAAATAAATAAATAAATAAATTACACAATATACTTATTTATAAAACAATGAATTTAAGATATTCTATAAATAATCCGACTATAATGTTAGTATATATAGTAAAATTATAGAATCCATAATAAAATATTTTTTCCTAATTTTTTAATTTTGGAGGAAAAAAAAAGCATCAAAATGGGAAAAATAAATAAAAAAAGATGTACCCAAAAACAAGAAAAAAGAGCAGTGAAACGGTGCGTTGGGATGAATTTTATTGGCGGTGATCATTGAATGCCGGTGAGAAATAACAGCAAAAAGAAGCAGAGGAGCGTTGTTTATCATTTCCTTTGTTACAGCAAAAAGAAGAGTGGATGAAGATCAAATCGTAATGATGATAGGAGGAGGAGGAAGATCATCGTCGTCTTCAACAACAGCCGGTGGAACATGGGTCTCAACAACCTCGGTGTCGGCTTCAGGGAAGAGGATTCAAAGGGAAATGTCTGAGCTCAACGCTGACCCTCCTTCCAATTGCTCTGCTGGCCCCAAGGGTGACAATCTCTACCATTGGGTCGCCACCATCATTGGCCCTCCTGGTTTACAACTTTTCTTCTTTCCACTTTTTTTCCTTTCTGACAAATGGGTATTTCTTAAATGTCTCTTGCATTTTGCTTCTTTCCTTTGATTTTGCCATTTTCAGAAGTGCGTGCTTGTTAAATCTCTTGTTAACGCTTTTTTTTTTTCCCTGAAGAGTGTTTTTTCAGTTCGTTTTAAGCGCACTCGCGTAATTCTTGCTTTTCTATAAATGTGTTTTTGTTGAATTTACATATTTTCTTGTCAATGGTGTAATTCTTTTTTATTTTATTTTATTTTTTTTGTGGGCTTTGAGAAATTAGTTTAAGCTTACTTGCTCATTGTTGTTTCCAGGTAGTTATTTGATTACTTTTGAGAAGCAGGCTGTTTCTGAAGTACTTTGTTTTATTATTTGCTTGATGTTCTTCTTTCTGAGAATAGTCATTAGAATTTCTTGTTGCCATGCTTGATCTTGCTATCTTCTTATGTTTCCTTTGGTTTTGAATGTTAGCTTAAGCATACTTGCTTAGCTGTTACCTCTTGTTTAATGTTCAATTGTTGTGAATATGGATGATAAGTGATTTGATGCTTATATAAGATGTTCCTTTCTGTAAGACAATTAAAGGAGAAAGGATCAATTATAGCCAGTTATCATAGTAAGTAAATGATGTAACTTCACTTTCAAGCACAACACTGACCAAAACCTGCAGATAAAATTAGTTGAATTTAACACAAATGAACAGATTCATTTACAAGAAACAAAAATTGAAAGGTATTTGGAACCATACTTGATATTACAAGAGAAATGTTTAACATAATCTTGACCAGTTTAAACTACCATTAGTCTTCAATTGTTTTCAGTAACAGGTGCCTGTTATTATCGATTTTCTTTTTCAATTGAATGGAATGTTTGAATGAGTTTGGTTTTACTTCTAGCTTCCTAAAATTGTCTTCTACCTTTTTTTGTTAGTGTCCAAAGATTGAAAAAAATATTAACTCAGCTATATTAACAAGCTTCCTTGTGTTCATTTTGTGCAGGAACACCATACCAAGGTGGCATATTTTTCCTTGACATTACATTTCCGAGTGATTATCCCTTTAAACCTCCCAAGGTATGCTCATTGATCATATTGTTGAAGACCATTAAACAATATTTTTATTGTTTAACATGCCTGTTTGGATCCAGTATCAATTATCTATCATGTCATATCTTTATTCTCACCTCCCTTCTCTCTCTCTCTCTCTCTCTCTCTCTCTCTCTCTCTCTCTAATCCCCTGGACTTTTTAATTTTGTTAGAGGGGGAGAGGGGTGGGGGTGTTTGTATGAAAGTGGGAGGTAGTTGATGATTGGCTAGCTGAAAAATATATAATTATGATAATATGTATTTTAACTACCAGCAGCCTCGTTTCTATACAGTAATTTTCCCTCAAGAAAAAGCAAACTAGAGGTCACATTTAATCTATAACTTGCATGACATTCCAGCCTTTTCTGTATAGACATCAATTTTTTTGGTGTTTGGCAGGCACCACTAGAAGATGGTAGGCTAGATAAATCCTAGTGTCTTCTTTTCCTGCCTACCTACGTACCTGGTACCTTGACTAGCTTTGCTCCGACTAGATTGATTAGTGCCCTTCCTTTCCTAAGCACAATGCTCAAAAATCTTCAACTTAAAATGGGCAATAGGGCCCGAAAGTCCCTCCTACCACCTTTGCACTCATGCATGTTAGAAGATTCATGAGTATGTCATATAACTCATACGCTGAAGATTCAATTACACTACAACGGGGTGACATGTAGTGTGTGCTGATATAGGGAAGTATGTATTGCCAATTCACAAATTATGGCACCATTCAAAATCTATAGACATGAACCTTGCTGTGATCTAGACTAATACTAGATCGCATTGTGAATATGGATATTATACTTTGAACTCAAAGTTAGGACAAATATATGAGCTCCTGTTTATATATGAGAGATCTATTTACTCTTACTCAAAATGTATAACACTGAACACATTTCTTCTATTCTATGTATAGCTGGATGCAACTTTCATTTAGCTTTTCTGTGCAATAGTGAATTGATCAATTTTCCACTCTACTTCCATAATTTGTTGCTTATTTCTTTTGATTATATTTTTACAGGTAGTATTCAAAACTCGAATATATCACTGCAATGTTGACGCTGCTGGAAATCTCAGTTTGGACATTTTAAAGGATAGTTGGAGCCCAGCCCTAACAATTACAAAGGTGCTAACTGCAATCAGATCAATTTTCACGAACCCTGACCCTTGTAAGTTTCCTCTATCATCTCTTAACTGGTAAACTGATGGGTTGGGAGGCTTTTTGTGGAGTTAAAGGAGTATATCCAACTAGTAAATGTGAGGGAAAAAACTGATGCATTTTTTGCAAAAGGAACAGAAAACAATACCTATTTTGTGCTCAATGCTTCATAAATGCTGTCTTTAAGTATACTTGTGGTTATATTGCCGTTATCATGCTAAAGATGTGGCTTTTCTTGTTATGACAGATAATCCTCTCATCTCTTCCATTTCTCGCTTGTATTTAGCTGATAAAGCTAAACACAATGAAATAGCTGCAGAGTGGACACTGCGGTTTGCCAAATAAGCCAAGTATTCCTTTAGGGAGCATTACTACAAGCAGCAACCAGAATTTCAACTGCACCACATGCAGATTTCTTCATAAATTTAATGATGGCTAACTAAACTTGTTGTCTGAGCACTTTGGCTTTCCAGCTGGTTTGATATTGGTAAAAGAACCTGTCTGCTGCTCTGCAAGTGAGCTAAAAAATTTTAACTGGTTAAATTTAGACCCCATTTTGGCAGTGCAATGCTGTATCATTGCGGGAAATGCAGCTCAATGAAACTGTATGTTAGGGTTACTTGTTCCGTCTACTGTTTTATGAAGGGGGGTTTGGAGAATCAATGGTTTTTTCCATTTGTTTTTAGAAATTATGTAGTACTTTTTCACAGTGAAACTGCCTTGTAGCTATGATCCATGTATCCATGTTTATTAATATCCAACCTCTCAATTAGATCTAACAATTCACGTATTTATATCAGTGTTTATTTCATATTAAACATATGCAAAGCATGAAAATTATTATATCATAATTAGTATTGATACGTTAAATGTAAATCTCATTTGTGATTTTTGTGAAAATTTTAAATTTCATCAATTTTTTTTTATCATAGTATCATATTTTGTTTAAAATTATTAGGTCTATTCTTGAATTGTATTAATCTCTAGTTATAAATAGAAGTGTTTATTTGGTCTGTTAGGCTCATTTTGAATTGAATTATTTAAAATTGAATTAGTTGAATTATATTATGTTATTTTTGTTAATCGAAATAAATTTATAAATTTCAAAAGTAAATTTATGAATTTCAAAAATTAATCTATCAAATTTAATTTGGTCAGTTCTGTTAATTTTTTTTGTTAATCAAATAATAAATATATTTAAGTTAATTATATTTTAAACTCTTAATTTTTTATATTTTAAATAAATTAAATAAAATTATCTAATAAAATATTTAAATATTAAAATATTATGCTAAAAATTCTAATAAATTATGAAATTAAATGATTCATTTCATAAATTTTTTATTTTATATTTAGATTATATTATATTTTGATTGAAAACTGAAATTCTTTTAAAATTATTTTTATTAACCAATTAAAATTAATTCAATTATTAATAAATTAATTGAATTAAATCGATTCAATCAATTAATCCAATTAAAAGAATAGGAGAGACTTAGAGAGAGATGGAGATGATAAAGAGAGGGAGAAAGTTGAAAATGAAAAAAAATTAGGGATTTAAAAGGGTGCTAAATGCAAGGTTTGGTGTAGGAAAGAAGAAGAAAAGAATAAGAAAAATTTAAGCATAATTTTTAAATCTCAAAATTTATACGTGAATATTAAAACATTAAATTGAATCAAATTATGTATTTTTTTTGGGTAAACATAATTGATAAGTGGAAGTAATATCAATCTTCTGCATAGACTAGGGGTCCATTGGATGGGCAGCAAAAATAACAGTGGAAATGAAATTAGTTATTGTAGCGGTGAGATTGGTTACTAAAGTTGTGAGATTAAAATAAAAAATGTCTTAAGTGTTTGAATATAAAAACAGTGATGACATTGTAGTAAAATATAATAAAAATAAAACTTACTATTAAGGACATTAAATTAAAATTGTATATAGTAAAATTTATAATATATTTGATATTTAAATATTTGATATTTAAAAATTTAAAAAATAATTAAAAATTAAGAAATTTATTTTTATCAAATCATAAATTTGTTAAAAATTAATAATACTATATTTATAAATATTAAACATAACAAAATACTATTTTTTTTAAAAAATATAAATATATTTAGACATCTTAGAATAAAAACAACTAATATTTATTTACTTTATTACTTATAAAGTTATCTATTTTATTTTTTTATTCACTAATAATTTATTTAATTATAAAATTAATTACTTTTATGTATTTATTATTTAAACTATTTATATATTAATTAATTTATTAAATAATTACATAAATGCTATGTTAAATAATTATAAAAAATTAATTTGAAAAAATGAAATTAAAAAAATAAAATAACAAAATAAATAAATAACTAATATAAAATACTAAACCAATCTACAAGTGTAAGGATATATTTGTCCATCATTATAATTTCAAGGAAGAAGAAAAAATGAAAAAAATTGAGATAATATTGGAAATGAGAGCTGCAATGAACAAAAACATTTTCACTGGAAGGGGTAACATCTAGTAAAAAAAGAATGGTCCAATGCGATTGAAAAACACCTCATTGCACTGTACTGGTAAGCCAAACATAATTTCAGTGCAGTTAAAGATTACAAACAAGTGCACCCCACTGAAGGTACAATTGAATCTAAATGGCCTATAGGTCTTTCTCTTTGCTCTTTTCTTACTGCTTTTAATGGATAGATACTACTACTTTGAAGTGAAAAAGGAATCTTAGCAAATTTTTTTAAAACCCTAGAAGCCTCCTTATTAAAGGTTTACTAAGTCAAAAGCTTACACAACTACTAAATTACATTGACCTAATAAGATATAAAAAACCCACACAGAAGTGATCACTATTACATTATTTGGGCCTTCATGCTTGTTTTATGTTAAGACAAAACTTACTAGTCGATTTTATTAAATTATTAAAATCGTTAATTAATAGTAGCTCATTTATGAAAAATTCTAAATTCTTTTATTTGGGCAATATTAATTGGGTTGTTCTATTTTAAGAAAATAGAATTTTGAAAACAAGACTACAGACTAATTTACTTTACTTTAATGTGGCCACATTTTAAAAATAATTTATTTTTTTAAGACAACATCTTAATGAATCTATTTTAACAAAACCATCTATGACTACAAGTACTAGAAACTCTACTGATAATAGATCTCAATGTGGTTGTGTAGTAAGAAAATAACACTTAAATATGATTTCAATGTGTTATTTTTATTGTCAGTCCTCTTGCCGATTTCTCTAAACTTGCTAAGAAATCTTCATAACATCCAAATGTATCTACATGTCTCTTCTTTATCTTTAAGGTTATTTGTTGATATTGCTTATGAGACATACCTAAATGACATTAAAGTCATACTTACGATAAATATCAAGTCTTAAGATTTTATAACATGACATGTCAATAAAAATTATGATGAATGTATAAAACAATTATGTCCAATTAGCTTTATAGTATTTCATGAATTTATTCATCTTAAACTATATCTTATAAGTAATTAGTAATCATATGTGACACATTTAACAAAGTAAAGAAACCTAAAACAACAATGGTTCTAAAATCAAAATTTGCAATGCATTTATTTTCATAATTACCTTAAAATGTTCTATTTTTCATACCTAAAGATATACGTATTATGAATTGGCAATACCATATTCTTCACATAGAGAAAATATGTCATCATGTAATTCACTAGTATGATAAGTGTAAAATAAAATTCTCTCATTCACTTCTGAATTCCTTAAAAGAAAATATTCAATTTTCTTTAAAATATATTATCAACAAATGACAACAAATATGCCATTAAAAATCGATAACTGGTAGGTTTAATAATGACAGTTAAGATAATCAAATCAATATCTTAATTAAGAGTTAAACAAGTAAAAAGAATATTTGTCTAAATGAAATTATATTTTAGTACTCTTAATTTTACTTAAATCAAATTGAGATATCATAATAGGTCTAAAACTTTCTTCTGTGGAAGCTAATCATTTTGGCTATTATAAGGTACTATACAATAATTGTATATTTTCAAAGGTGATAAATTAAAGTGACTAACAATTTATGCACTTATTATGTTATACAAAACATTCAAGAACTTATCATTCATGGTAGACATAAACTTATGATGACAATTATCCAATCATATTGAAACTGAAAGGCCAATTATGATCTAAACAGATAAAACTTTAATTAGTTTAACATATGTACTAGTCTTATCAATAATAACCAAGGTACCTCATAACAATTTTAATCTTGGACATTCTTTTAAAGAAAATATCATACTTGTGTGATAATACCTCAAAAGAAAAAATTACAAAGACTTTTAAAAATATATGTTCTTTGGGCTTATAAATTTCTTAGATATATGTATATTTTCACTTAACAAAAATAGTTCACAATTATCTCTAAATTAAAAAAATATAATCAATCCCTTTAGATAGGTAATCATATGTAGTAACTTAGAGACAATCCCATAACAATATAAGAAATTTTATAATCAATGTGGTTCTATTGATTTTCTTATGTTTATTTATATATGTGATCACTCTAAGCGAGATACTATTTAAATATAACTTAATGGATCACTAAAAGTTAAAACTTAGAATGCCTAGTACCATTTTAAGCATATTAAAAATTTTAAGTCATACTCTATAATCATGCTGTCAATCAACAGAAACATTTAGAATGCTATATTACAAATTAAATTGTCTTAACAATTAATAATACTTTTATTACAATGTTTCAATCTTTCAAGCATGACTAGAAGAAATTTCAAAATTAAAAATTGATTGGCCACAAAGAACATCTACCAATGTAGATACTTTATATTTACATGAGATTCAATAAACTACATAATATTTATAGCATAAATCTCAATATACAAAATGATTATGATATATAAGGAATGTCAATCGCACATAATTTTCTAGACAATCATATATACACAATGATTATGATATAAACCAATTTCATATTTAACTGAGAAATATAATATTTTCAATACCATTAAATATAAGTTGTGAAATAAATATCAAAGCAAGTTAATTTAGTAAGCCTTAACAATAATATATTTCAATCAAAATTTTGAAATTTGCAAAACGAATTTTGCTTGCTCTTACATATTGAAACTTTTACTCATATCTATTTTAACTTTCATAACTCATCTTTATTTATTTATTTATTACCCAAGAACTTTATGGTAATATTTATTGAGTTTTATGATATTAATAAGTGATAGCACCTAAAATTATAGTAATTTTACATGCTAAAATAAGTGCTAAAATTTTAAATTTGGATGGATTTTGGTGCTATTAATGTTGTTTTTGTGATTTCTAGGGTTTAAGATCATGATGTATGACTTTCATTTAATTCATGCATGTAGTAGTCAAAACCTATTGGTCCATTATCACCAATCCATATGACCAAGTGAAGAAGATGCTTCACATGCACAAGGACTCTACTCACATTCGGCTATATCCTTTCCAAAAAAAGATAAAATTCAAATAAAAAAGTTCAAGGCCCTAAGAACACTAGATAGGTTCAGCCAAAGGTGTTTAAGCTCAAAGAGGACTCTTTTGCTTATCTTTTGAATAATTATACATCGAAGAGGTTTGTAGCTATTTGAATTTGAAGAATTTGGATAAAAAGCACTATTTTGTCTTAAATCCAAGCCTTAGCCAAACCTAGGATGGAGATTGAATCCAAGCAAGATTAAACGGCCAAGATAATATCCCAAGAGTCCCAATTGGCCAAGCATTGTCAAGACTAAAGAGTCCATGTTCAACTAACTTATTGAAGATGAATATAAACCCTATTCATTAGCATTTGAATTAAATTCAACTTCTTGTAATCTTTATCCCTCTAGCTGAACCTATACCTATAAATAG